CATACAAATAAAAAAATAAAATAAAATAAAGGTTTGTTTTGGTTCATGGTTTCAGAGGTTTCCATCCTTGGCTGTTTTGAGCCTGTGGCAAGGCAGAATATGATGGAAGCACATGGCAGAGGAAAGCTATTCTCTAATTTCAGTCAGAAGAGAAAGCAAGAATTTGAAAAGGCTGGAGCCCCAGTACCCTCCCTCTTCAAAGCTATAATCCAATGACCTAGCTTCCTTCAACCAGGCCTTGCCTCTAAAGGCTTCAACAGCACTGTCAGTTGGGGACCAAGACTTCAACACAGCCTTTGGGGGTCAGTTAAGATCCAAAACATAATGGGGGTCTAAGTCAAATGTCCCAGGGGCCACCATCCTTTGACAAGGTGGTAAGGAGATAACCCAAGAAAGGGCCCATGAAAGACCTCAGGAAGCTCCAATCACTGTCATGGGAAGGGATACAAAAGAGTATTACCCATTAGGATACAGCCTTGGGTTCCAGAAACAGCATTCTGCCCAGGCCCTCCAACTGTAAGGATGACTTCACTTCCAGGTGGGAGCCACCTACAGTTGTATCTCCTGAAACCAACTTTCTCACGGACTCTCAACCTATAAGAAAACCATCCATGGTCTGCTAGTTAACGGAGACAAAAGGTGCCAACCGACTGAGGTCCATGACACAACCAAACACACATCCCCAGGACCCGCTAAGCAGGAGGGTGAGGCATTCACAACAGCACCCCTCAGCCTCAAAGAAAACAAGGCAGAGCAAGAAAGGATACAGCCATGACATCAGCAGCAGTAGGCACTGGCACTGTGTACAACCTCCTTCCTACCCTATGGTAGCTCTAGCTCAGCCTCCCAGCCATCTATCCACCCAGAATGAAGAGAACCCAGATGTGACCCATGGGGGAGGTCACAAAATGAAAGCATGTACTATACTACACATTGATATCATCCTAAGAGCCCAAGGGGAACTATGGAGACAGGCCAGGCCAGCTCAGTGACTCCTAACAGGTAGTGACCCCCAACAGTGTGTGGAAAGGAGTCAAGGCTCACAGGACCCACAGGTGGTGTCAGAGAAATACAAACAAATATCAGAGCCCCTTGAACCACCAACCCAGACTGTGTGATGACGACAGTGGGCCAGCAAAGAACAGCCTTGCTCTCTAAACACACAAAATCCTCCTGTGCCACTGCTCTCTGAAGACAGAGAAAGGTACTGAGAGCTGAACTCTGACTGAATTGACCAGGCAGGAAGGAGTCAGGGAGGGAGAAAGGTCACCTCTGAAAATGTAAATGTAGAAAGACAAACACATCCTTACACTAGCAAGGCAACACAAGGCAAAACATCACCCAAGGAATATGGAAATAAATTCTGACCTAGTAACACCAGATTAAAGAATAAAGAGTGAACACACAATGAGACAGGATGTGACCAGACCAAACCACCAAGAAAGAAGCATTTCAACAGCACCAATCTGAAGGACCACCACTGAGCATCTCAAGTGCAGAACTTGTCTTTGAGAGATGTCAGTGGCAAGTTCAAACTCTTTCAACTAGTTCTAGGTGAATATTGAAGACGGGCCCAAGGTCTGGGTATATGACACATGGTTGGAAAACAAAATATCAGCTCTGTGCTTCAGCATCTCTGCAAAGGAGGATAATTCTCCAGCAATAAAGAGATGGTCGACCTAAGCTATCATTAATAACCCTGTGATACACATCTTTGTGAACAATATCTATTTCACTTCCAATTTTTTCCTTATCAAGCACATGAGAACAGAAATTAGGTGCAAAACTACAAACTTTAAAAAACTTGTTTGTCCTTTTCCCATGTTGCTGGGGTTGCCACCCCTTAGGAATCTGTCTCCATAGCTCTCTTGGGCTCCTCAGGGTCTCACCAATGTACGTTCTTTCACTGTGACCGACACTATGGTTCACACCTGTGTCCTTTCACTCTGTGACCTACACTATGGTTCACACCTGTGTCCTTTCACTCTGTGACCTACACTATGGTTCACACCTGTGTCCTTTCACGCTGTGACCTACACTATTGTTCACACCTGTGTCCTTTCACTCTGTGACCTACACTATTGTTCACACCTGTGTCCTTTCACGCTGTGACCTACACTATTGTTCACACCTGTGTCCTTTCACTCTGTGACCTACACTATGGTTCACACCTGTGTCCTTTTCAACCCTGGGATAGTTGTGATGCTGGGAACTGAACTCAGGGCCTCAAGCATGCAAAGTACACATTCTAGCACTAAACGATGCCCATAGCTCCTTTTTCCTAATTATAATATATACTTAATGAGTATATAGTTAATGTAAAAAGTTTTATATTCTTCTTTTTTTGAAACAGAATCTCACTATGTAGTTCTGAATGGCCTGGAACTGGCTAGATAAACCAGGCTTATCCCAAACTCACAGAGATCTCCCTACCTCTGGCTTTCACAGTGCAGAAAATATTTTTTAAAACAAAAAGAGGAGCCAGGCCTGGCAGCCTGTAATCCCAGCTACTCAGGAGGATAAGAAAGATGGCTTGCGCCAAGGAGTTTGAGGTCAGCCAGGGTAACATAGTGAGACCCATTCTCAAGCAATCAAATGATACTACTGTAAATAACTATTTGTAATATTCTTGATATATTTTTTCTAGTCACGTGTAACACTGTAATTTCCTTTTTCTAGTTAACAATAATATTTCCCCACATTAAATGGGTCATCAGCCTACTTTACCTAATCCAACCACTATAAAATAACCATCTAAACTGTTCATATTGTGATATATAACTAGAAAATTTAAACCCACAAGGCTGAGAGAGAAACTGAAATGGCCCTAAAGCTTGATGTCCGCACCTAGAGGGCCCAGACACTGCACAGTTATAGAAACAGTCTGAGGGGGCTGGAGAGATGGCTCAGCAGTTAAGGGCATTGCCTGCTCTTCCAAAGGTCCTGAGTTCGGTTCCCGGCAACCACATGGTGGCTGACAACCATCTGTAATGAGGTCTGGTGCCCTCTTCTGACCTGAAGACATACATGTAGACAATAATATTGTATATATAATAAATTTAAAAAAAAAAAGAAAAGAAACAGTCTGAGGCTCTCCAGAGTCTGAGAGGTTTTTAAACGAGACAAACATGCAATGTGCAGTTCTCTGCAAGTTTTGCTAAGTGTTCTGTCTGGGCAGACTAACGAGTCTTTCACATTACTGCTGTCAATAAGAAAGGAAAAAGACAGTGTGACATAGCCACAGGAGTGGGCATCGTTTCCCCTGCACCTCGTGGTCAACATGGCCCAGAGGCTAGATGCCCTGGACAACTAAGAGACTGATGACAAACGAAATGTAAAGTAACCTCACAGATTCTAAGCCAAAACCAAGAGGAAGGTAAAGGCAGCCTTGGGAGAGTTAGGAGAGTTGGGTGCGGTGGCCTTCGGGGAGGCCACAGGCTTCACTGACTGGAATGGCTGGTAGCACAAGGGTCATGCCCTCAGGCGGCAGCGAGGAAGACCTGCGCTAAGACACAGCAAGTTCCTGCCCAAGAGCCCCCTCAGGGCCCACACCTGACCAAGCTGCTGACAGCCTGGCTCCTCCCCTTCCAGCCTACCCGAGCATGCCCGTAAACTCCTGCGGCCCTCACTGAGCTCCTCCACCAAGACCTGTACATCACAAAAGGCTCCTTCTCGTTCCCTGTGTGCACATGGCAGGACAGCACATTTTCTTTCAGTGCTGCTGGCCAGTGACAGGGCAGATGTCCCCACCTGCACATCCAGCTCCTGCCGGATTGAGCACAGGAGAGCTGCGCACACTTACTACAGTGGAGGCAGGACTGACCGGGGGCTTTATAAGAGCTTTTCAACACAGGGGTTGATACTAGCTCGGAAAAAGTGACCGAGACTGGAGAGAGTTGGTAAAAAGTCTCCCTCTCTCTTGGACTGGATGAGCAGGCCTGGGAGGCTGAGAAGACAAGCAAAGTTCACCTGTTCTCAAAGGCAGGAGGACTACAGACATGCCATGCCCAGTACCGAAAGGAGCGGAGAGCCTCTCCATCTCGCTTAAAACCGGCCGTTCTCCTTGGTCACAAAAGGCCCTGAAAAACCTGCCTTCCAGGCTTTCTCCTCCTTGGTCCACAGTCTAAACAAATCCACCAGGAGGGCAGAGACGGCAGCTAGGACTCAAGGCCCAAGCTCTGTGTGTGTGGGGGGAGGGGAGGTTCAACACTCAGTACAGGTGGGTACAATCTTAACTTCAGGCAAACAAAACGCGTGCTATTCCTAGCGCTTTCCGAATGCAGCCTACGGCTCCTCCGCCAGTGGTAGCGCTGGGAATCACCCCAGCTCCCTGCGCTATTAGCCTTCTCACATGACACCTCCTGCCTTCCACTCCCCCAGCCCACACATTCCTGCTAGGTTGTATCAGACAGCGAGATGTCAGAGAATCGGCGGCTGCACACAAATCCGTCCGCTTCTCTTCCTAACTTCGCTGCCTCCTTGGAAATCACTCCATCTTCGGAAACTCCCTTTCAAGTTGAACGAAGAAGAAACCGGTTCAAGTTTAGGATGTGGATGCGAACCTGCGGTAGCGTCCGTTCCTACCAGCAGCTCCGTGGTCTGCCAGGCTGAACTCCACGCTCTTGAGAGTGACAGCACTCGGTACTTTTCGTCAGTGCTGCGCAAGTCCTGATCCGGGCTCAGCCTCTGGCCCACCCTGGCCTGGCAGTAAGATGAGCATCCCAGGGGAGGGGGCACAGCGTGGGGCCACGCGGCACCCACGGGGTGCGGGAAAGAGTCCTGAGGGGACGGGGAACCGAGAAGGGACACTAGGAGGAAAGGGGACCAACGGACACAGGGGTGCCGGGGATGAGTAAGGAAGCTGGGGGTATTGGGGGGTACAGGGAGCCACCTGAGCGGAAGCTGGAGGAGGAGTCACGACCCACACTGGAAGGTATTAGGCACAGGGCTGCCGCAGTCGTCGGGGAGGCCCGGAGCCGCGCTGCCCGCCAGTCGCTCACCTGCGCGTGGGCCACCACAAGGCTCTTGTTGCCTTCGCCGTGGTAACCCCATTCATTCTCGTCCATCTTCCCCTCTTCCATGCCCCGGCGCCCTGGGACTTCGCGGGCCGGGACACGGGGACGCGAGCTGGAGGCCGCCCGCTTCGCTGGGCTCCAGCCGCAGCCGTCTGAAGAAAAGCGCCTGTCAGCTGCCGCCTGCGCTCTCAGCCGCCGCTACTAACAAGCAAGGAGCGCCGGAAGCCACGCCCCCAGAGGCCGCCATTCTCTGGCCGGGCAACTTCCGGGTCCCGCCCACCTCGCCGTCGACGTTCGTGGCGGTAGATGAGCTGGAGGCCATGTTATGTGCTGGCAGAGTGACTCACTTCCGAAAACGCAGGCTTGGGAACCGGAAAGGAGGTTTCCGGATCAAGTCCCGGACGTTGAGGCCGGCGGCTGCCAGTCGCCCGCCCCGGACCCGATGCACTGAGCATCGCGTGGTCCTGTGGCCACGGCTGCATCTTCCCCGGGCGACTCGGAGCCTCCGCTGTCACGTCTGTAGAATGGGATGGGATTAACTGCACCCTCACTGACTCTCCCTCAGGTAGAAAGAGCCGTTAGGTGGTGGCCGCAGTTCACACCGGGAAACGTGGCGAGGAGAGGGGACCTCACGGTGACGCTTTTGCCCCGGGACACCCAGAAATGCAGATGGACCAATAGACTCCATCGCAGAGAACAACGGCTTATCCTTTGAAGCGAGGAAGAATGACACTGCCTTGAAGATTATATGAAGACTTTGTTAATGCTCTTTAAAATGATTTAGGACTGGGCGTGGTGGTGCTCGCCTCTAATCTCAGCTTTCAGGATGTGGAGGCAAAAGGATCTCTTTGAGTTCGAGACCAACTAGGGTTACATAGCGAGACCCTATCTCAAACATAATTTCATATTTGATTAGTAGTACTGAATATTGCGTTGACTGGTGTATGTGAAGAAAATCAAGCTTAATGCAGATATATGGCTGTTGCGTTAACTTTTCCAAGGGATACAGGGCAAATAACTGTGTACTCTAAACGGCACCAACAACAGACCACGGAAGTGAACGTACCCTTGGTGAACCAATGAATTTACAGGGCATGCTTAGAGAAGCATTGGTGAAGAGTAACTTTTAGTGTGGATGACCTCAAAACAGCTGCACCGCAGAAAAGTCCCATCCTGGCATAAATTTATTCCTCTTCCTAAAACTAAGTGGATTTCTCCTGTAAATACTCCTGAAAGCCTGTGCAGTTGAGGACGCTGTTTTAAGGTGGAAAAGGCCATGTTTTGCACTGAAGAAGGGTACACAGCACTCCAGTCTAACTCAGTCTCTCTTTCCACCCCTCTCTTCTGCGGCTCTATTCTCTGAGCATTGGCGGAGGTGACAGATGCTTGGTCATTGGCTTCCACTGTGCCTGAGCATTGGACCACTGTATCATAGCAACAGCCACCTAACTCTCTGCAGCTTGATGGGTCTTCTCAGTAACTTTTACTCACTGAAAAAATAAATGAATAAATAAAAAGATCCTCTGTACCACTAACACTGACAACTCAGTCATCTACAGGTATAAACATAGATGTTTAGCAGACAATCTGACAGGCACATAGCCATTTAACTACAGAAGTGGTTTCCATACTAGGGTCCTATGATCTCCCGGGTAAAGGCTTTTATCTTACAATACCAATATGAGTCCCTTCCTGCAGAACAGTACTTCAAGACAATCAGAAAGTTAGTTGTACCAGGGGCACATCTGCCTGGCATGCAGGTAAAGGAGCAGGACCATTTGTGACAGTTCTCCCCTAGCAGCCTACACAACACCCAGCACTTCCAAACATGTCTGCAAGAAGGGAGCTTTCAGCTCAACCCATTCGAATTTCACATGGCCTGCAATTAGCATGTGGGATCCTCAGCAACAGCATTGTACCAGCTAGTTCCGACGTGCAGCCAACAGCCACGGCAATAGCCGGCATTGTTCTGGGATGTCAGGGACCACCCTGGCTGACAATCAAAGGGAAACAGCCCACCCCTGACACTGATATTGTTGTTCAGTGGCCTTCTAGCTTCCAGAAGTGTCCTTCTCCCTCCATGCTGGCTAACCTTACTTCGTAAATGTTTACAGGTACAGGAGTTGGAGGATTTTCTTAGATCACTTTACTGGGTACCATCTGCATGTCATCCAACCATAAAACTCAGAACTTCACAGTTGTATATGGTCCTTGCACTTTGTGCAGGGTAAATTCCCACTCTGGGTCCTTAAGTGCACTTGCCTGCACTTCAGATGCTTTGCTGAGTCTGTGGGGTATGCAGAGGCTAGAATTATATAGTAAAGTCCTTTTACATATGGTCAGATCTCTGAAGACCCACCAAGAAAGTGCCAACTGTCTTAAAACAAAAAAAGAATTAGGGGCTCAGGATGTAGCTCAGTCGGTAGAATCCAAGTCTAGCATGCACAGCCTCTAGCACCACCAAAATCAGACTTGAAGCCGGGCAGTGATGGTGCACCCCATTTAATCCCAGCACTTGGGAGGCAGAAGGAGGTGGATCTCTGTGAGTTCAAAGCCAGCCTGGTCTACAGAGTGAGTTCCAGAAAAGTCAAAGCTACACAGAGAAACCCTGCCTCAAAAATAAATAAGTAGATAGATAGATAGATAGATAGATAGAACAAAACAGACTTAGTAATACACTCCTGTAATTCCAGCTTTCAGAAGGGGAAGGCAGAATAATCAAAAGTTCAAGGTTATTCTTAGCTAGTTAGAGACCAGACTGGGACCCATGACATCATGTCGTCTCAAAACAAAAAAAAAAAAAAAAAAAGTAAAGTCCAAAACAACATGAAAAGATCCCAAACATCTGTAGAAATTGTTTTTTCGAAAGAGCAATGTTGGACACCATGGCGTGGGTGGGAGGGTACAACCTGTTTGATCCCTATCCTCTAGTCTACCCACGAGCTAGCCATCCCATTTCTTCATCCTGGGGTGCTACCAAGGGGTACTGCCCAGGAGCTCGGTGGACCTCGCACACTAATTTCCTTGGTCTGATGCCAAGGAGGCGTGGGGCTATGCCGCACTGCCGGGCCAACCAGTCCCTGGGGCTAACAGGCTGGGGGCGGGGGGAGGGGGGGGGGCTGTCTCTCCATTATCCACACCTGGCTGTTGAAAGGGCCTGGCTGGGCAAACAGTCTCCACCCACACAGCACTTCGTGGCAGGAAAGAATGTACATAGCACACTCTGAGGGGCTGATTGTCCCTGCTGGGTCAAGCTTAATCATTTTCATTTGCCCTGCTCTCGGTTACTCTTCCCTTTACCCCTTTGTGAACCATTGCTTAGACCTAAAGCCTTCAGAGACTATGAGCACTGAATTTAGCTGTCTCTTTTTGCCCTAGAAACTTCATCTCAACACAAACCTCACACTTGCTTCCTGTGTCTGCTTTTTCTTTTTTCTTTTTCTTTTTTTTTTTTTTTTTACTCCCTCTGGATTGTTTCTATTCTGTGATCACAGTTTATCTGCCAGTATAAATCATTTAGATCTGCCGGCGACCCTCCTACCTCATAAAGATCATGATCCATTATGGGGCCATACCAGTCTTAAGGCCCCTGCTGAATTACCTTCCTTAAGCTCTCTGGCAAACATGCTCCTATCTGATCTGGTGAACTGGGCACCACAAACCACCTGTGTCCTGCCCAGCCCCCTGGGTATCCTCACCACCACATCTCCCCATTCATATCTCTATTCAGTTCTTCCCACTGGGCTACAACTTTTGGGTTCCGAAAGGTTTGGTTTACAGTCTCTTTTCCTTACCTTCCCCAGCTGTAAAAAATGGTAAACTATCCTCTCTTCACTGTTTACCTACCAGATGGGAGGCTAATGTGGTGATGTCTTTCTTGTCGCTGTTAGTTCTTCAAGCAGAGAAGTTTCCTAGGCAAACAGTTGCATGACTTATCACCCATAGCAAGGGCAATGCAGCTTCCCCATGGTTCTCTTATAAAACACCCTATACATGCCACTTTCAAGATCCGCCACGTTTTCCCTTCCGCCAGTCACTTCTGAGATCTCCCTACACACCCCTACTGGACCACGTCAAGAATGAATGCCATGCCATAACACATTCAGGAAGATGGCACCGCCAGGATTTGCGTAGGATTTTTCCATGCTTGCTTTCCCTCTGGGCAGACAACTCAGCCTCCTTTGCATGCCTTATTGCCCGCAGCAGGAACAATGCAAATGCAACCTGCACCAAGGACACATGCTATTCTACCCCTCGTGGAGGGAGCCACTGCAGGACTTGCCCCTGGGCACTGTGCCACCCTCAGACAGCTTAGCTTCGGTTGGTTGCATGTTGTACCACCCTACAGCAAGGCCCCTGCAGCTGCTCCTCCAAAATTCATCCTTGGTTTTGTCCTTTCTCTGTCTGTCTGGGTACCAAGTGCTGTTTTAGTTTAGTTTTAATTTGGCTTGATTGGGATTTTTGTGTCGGCAGAGATCTTGCGTTAGGAAAATTCCTAACATGAACCAAAGGACCCACCTGTCTAGTCCAGTGACTTTACTGGACTTAGGGGAGTATAGGTAATTACCAAACAGATACACCACTGGGAAGTCCCACCTTGGCATAGCTAACAACCTCCTGAAAGCCTCACAGATGGAGTCTGCCCCCACTAACCTTCTGTCCCATATACTCCCTCGACTGTGTTAGAGCTGGGAGTGCAGTTTGCAGGAGGGAGTGGCTATAATCAGAAGTGGGGGTCTAATGACCCTCCTCCACACCCTTTTCCTGGGTGTGAATGTCAGCAAGCCCAGTCTTGTTACTGTCTCCTGCAGGTGGTCAAACTGTTCTGATTAAGGTGCGAATACCCAGTGTGAATACCTGTGCTATTCCAGGAGGGCTGTGTTCCACAACATTGGTTCATAAAAGGAAAAACCCTGAGAATGACTGGTCCAGGCACCTCTGTTGACAGCAGTGAAAAGAGGCCAGTGAGTCAGGAAAACCAGGTGACTTCCAGCATCTTCTTCCAGGATGCTGGGACCCCCACCCCCACCCCAGGGAAGGCGGTGGGAGGTTGTTTAGGAGAGTTGAGAAATGGAGGTAGAAAGAGCCACTCCAGAGAAGAGACAGGCACAGGACAGTGAGAAAACAGTTCACAGAATCTAGGTTGTCCCATACCCTGGGAGGCGGGGGACCCTACACATGACTGAGTTCCCAGCTCCCCG